GCCCTTGCAAGCAGCGAGGGAGCTCCCTGGGAAAGGCCGTCCCTCAAAATGAGCAAAATGCAATCTCCATTTGCCAAGCAAAATAAACGAGGGATCTGAACGGGCCGGCACTCCCAGGCGGGACGTGCCACTGAGGGCTGTCGGAGCAGGCACCCTCAGTGCTTTGAGATCGGCTGATAAAAACGAGCCCTCACAACGTAGGCTTTTTTCCTAGCCATGTTTCTTAGGTCTCCCATTTTAGGCTGGTTTCGGGGGCTCCCTTGGGCTCCTTGGTTTTCCTCCCTGCCATTGCTCAGGGTTGTGTGGCGGGAGCAGCGCGTACCGGCTCCGCGCCGGCTGCCTGGCAGCAGGAGAGGGAGGGAGAGGTCACCCCTGTGAAAACAGCAAATTGGATTTTATAAGTTTATAGCTATGTTTTGTTTCTTTTACAGAACCATAATCCTGGTGCTTAGAGTGGTCTGAAAGGAACAGAAACACTTAGCCTTGAACTTTTGTTCTGCTGCTGCTTCTTGTGCCTCTGAGGTACAAAACATACCTGTAAACTTATAATCAATCAAACTGATGTTCAAGGGCTAAAAAAAGAAACCCAAAAAGGGCACAGGCTTCATGTTCAATAGTGAGACTCTTGGGGTGGGYAAACCAGAAGATTGCAGTTGGCAATTGGCAGGTTTTCGGAGACCAGCGTTCCAGGTACGAAACAGCTGATTTCTTTCTCCCTCTCTCTTTCTTCCTTCTCCTCCTCCCTGCTCCCCGCAACCACCCCAAGAAGTAAAACCCTTGGATCCCACGAGGTGCCTGCACTGATGCCACRGCTGCACAGGACGAAATTCAGCAAACGTGGCCTTTTCCCCACCCCGTCAGCCCAAAGCATCACCAGCAGCGCAGCGCCCGTACCTGTGCGGTGGCTGCTGGTGCCAGAGCGGTGCCGTCCCCAGCCCCGGYGCTGGCCCGGCCCATGCCGGGAGCCCAGGGCAGCAGCGGGAGCAGCCGCAGCCCCARTGCAAACACATGTGTGGCAGCACGCAGCCATGCAAATAGCTCGGGAGCGCAGCACGTTCCCCCCGCGCTAATTGCTACACCGGGACGGTTGCGTAGCAACAGCCGCGGTGGTGCCGCTCACAGCTCCTGCCCCTTGATTCCTCTGACACCGTCTGTGACAAACGGGAGAGGAGGAAAGAATGGCGCTGGCCCGGGGATGCTGCAGGGGCCGGGAGGCAGCGAGGGGATGGGGTTGGACAGGTTGACTCGGGACACCGCGGTGTCTTCTGGAGGCAGCAGGAGATGCATACAACCTGCAGGGAGGGTGTCGCAGCCCGGGAAGGTATAGCTTCGTATAGGCAGCTTTGTGTAGGCAGCCAGAAAGGGCAACGTGGCATCTCCCGGGTGCTGTGGGAACGCACACAGACGGGGGGATGTCTCCCCCAGATCCCTCTGCACCCCGGTGCAAGGCGCCCGTAAGCATGGAGCCCCAGCAAGCGGCCTCCCCGTGCGTCCTGCCCATGGCAGCACATTCCTGCAGCCCAGCCAGCCCTGCAGCTTCTCCAGCCTCCAAAGCTATGGCTTCCCAAAGCTATGGGAAGGAGTGAGCATAGATACTGAAAGAAAAGAGTATAGATTGTATGGGCAGAAGAGGAGTGATGTCCTGGGCCTCTCGGCTTATCTGCTGAGCCCAGCAACTCCTCCTTGGGCACCCTGTGCCTCCAGAAAGGCAAGCTCCGGTGAGAGGGGACAGTTGGTTCCCAAGAGAACTTCTTCCTGTTAAAACGATGGTCCTAATTTCTGCTTCTCAGAGTTTGCCATTAGTCCTCAGTGCTCACTGCGYCTCTGCCATTCAGACTGAAGAACCTGTTAGTGCCTGGTGGGTTCCTCCTGTGCTGGCACTCCAGCTCTGTAATCAGCCCACCTCTTTGTTGCCTCCCTGTTAAGCTACATAAATAAATGATTTCTCTGAAACTGCCTGCACAGTGTGCAGTGTGCACACACAGTGTGCAGGCAGCCTGGCCTAGGGAGCCAGGTAGCCTGGCCTAGGGAGCCATGCGGCACTAGAAATAAGCTCTAGTTACACCTGAGCACACATCGAGCTCTGCTCCAAAGCCGTTTCTCTAGTTGTGACCCTCTTAGCTAAGGCCCACGTTGGACAGCTCTTTCCTGGTCCATAAAACGGTGCCAGCCTGTATGTGCTGCTCGTGTTTGGCTGTCCTGCCTCGGAGGCTTGTGGCATTAAGCGGGCAATCCTGTGTCCATGCGCCTCGGGGCCACAGGATGGGCACCAGCCTGTTGGACTGAGCAGTAACAGAACAAGACCTGCAGATTAGTGGGTCGCGGGGAGCACAGAGTGGCACCCAGAGGTGACCCAGGCTGCGTCACCGCTGCATAGGAGGCCGGGGGAGAGGGGAGGCTGCAGTGCCATCGCAATGGGTGGGAGACTGGCTGAGCTGTAGTGGACTGAGCAAGGAGCAGAAGGGCTGGAGATGGGAAACTGCTTTCAGTCTTTGGGACTACGTGATGTGGGAGTGGACAGCCSTGTACATAATGCGACTGCAGAGGCAGCCAAGTTGTTGAGAGGGAGAGGGTTTCCCGAGGACACCGGGGCTTGCATCGTAGTGGGTTTGTTTCTTTTACCAAGGAGGAGAACTCTTTTTCTGTCCGCTTTTAGCTTGGCAGCTCGGCCGGCTGCGTGTGTGTCAGGTTATGTCCGYGGAGCGCGGTGGGGCAGAGAGGCGAACGCCAGGGCCGCGCTCCTCGCGGAGCAGATGGGAAAGGCGCGAGGTGCGAGCAAGGCTCAGGGCGCCCTTGCGAGCGCCGCGCGCCGGCGCATCCTCGTCCCCGCAGAGCACGGCTCACACACCCGCTGTGTCTCAMAGCGTCTCGGCCACGCACGGAGGAGTCGTGCCCGCTCGGTGCCTGCTTTCCCCCAAATCRGGGTCACGCTGGGGATGCCGCTCTYRGAAACCCGCCATGCCCTGGCCGGCGAKGCCCCGCTCAGGCTGCAGGGGCCTTTCCCCGTCCCGGCTCTCCAGGTGAGCCGTCATCCAGCGCTCAGGCCGGTGCTCGGCGGGCGATTGCAGCCAGCGCCCGGAGCGAGCGCGGCTGGGCAGGCGGCGGCACCGCTTCCCATTCCCGCGGCATTCCCGGGCGGCGGTGCGCCGGAGCGCGGCTGGGCGCGGGGTGGGCCCGGCAGCGCCGCGCCGTGCCGCCGCCGCCGCCGCTATAAAGGCAGGCGCGCGGGCGGAAAATGGCTGCCGCTCTTAGGAGCTGGGCTCGCCAGCAGGTAAGAGCGCGGCGCCCTCGGAAGGCGGCCCTGGAGGACACGTCCTGCCCAGCGCTGCCCTTTGCAGGCTTCCCGCTCTCCACTCCTTCCTCTCCACGGGGACCAAAGTGTCCCGCTCCATTGTCATTCAGCAGGGCGAGGGGAGGAGCGGCGCTGTGTAAAAGATCCTCACTGACATAAACCCTCTGCAGGCAGAGCCCTGGAAGGGGGCCAGCGCCTACCTGAGCATTTTTATTTAAATGAAGCCCAGGCTTTGCAAGCCGGGAGTCCCGGCAGCACCAGGTAGAACCAGTTAGGACSGTTGCTGCAGGGCGGGCTCGCCCGCTTGAGGCACAGCGCTCCGCAGGTACGTTGTTTGTCGCTAGCACGGGGAGCTCTTCTGGAGGTGTTAAAGTCCGCTCAGCCYGTGCAGCTTGCCCGGCCCTGCCGGGCGGTTTCGGTAAAGCCCAGCCGGAGAGGCGCTGCAGGAGCCCGTGCCCCCGTGATGGATGCAGAGCCCCGTCACGGCGTGGGCGAGCTGCACAGCCACGGGCTGCCTGGCAGATGCGCGAGGCTGGTTCTGGGCTGCAGCCAAATGGTTCAGGATGGAGAGTGGGCGAATGGAGGTCAGACCCTAGCCCAGGCAGGCGTCCCCTCCTGCCCTTTGCTGAGCTGTGCACCAGACCCCAAGGTGCTGGGGGTGCAGGTGGCTGGCGGTGCCTCCCAGGTTTGCCAGTGGCCAGGAGCGAAGCAAACAAGCAGTAGGTAAGGGCAGGCAGGGGCTTCCCGGCCGCACGGGGTGGCACCAGCACCGCTGCCTCGTCTCACTGACCTTCTCTCCTCCTCCCTCTCTGTCAGTCAGTGCCGGCTCGCGAATTGCCCTCCGTGTGGCACGGGGGCACTGGACGCCAGCGTTGGCAGCCCGTTGAGGGAAACCCCCCTGAAGCCGAGATAGATAACGCTGCTCCTCTCCAGCCTTGCCCTGAACGCCGCGCTTAGCGCTGCTCCTCAACGCAGCCGATAAGTGAGGTCAGCATCCCACACTAGCAATGGTTCATGTATTCAGCACCTTCCTACAGAGAGTCTCACCCTGATTTCTGTGGCTTGTGCTGGAGCCCCACAGGGAGCCCAGTGGGGCTAGTACAACAGCTCAGACCATTGCCAACCTCCTGCTGCTTTTTTAGCCCTTTGAGCAGGGCCAGATACTCAGCCTGCAAGTCATCTGCTTACCCGCTGCACGAGCAGCAGTCACCAAAAGTTTCTGTGTGACCATACGGTAGCCAGCAGCAGTGATTCACTGGCTGGGGTCAATTAGCCTCATCAGCTTCCCRAGCTCTTCTCCTCCTGGTGAGCCATGAGTCATCTCGGGAAGGGGGAGAGCAGGMGGGAATGACTTTCATTTCTTGGGTAGTGTTAGAGGCGAGGGAGGTTCAAAGTGCACCACTTACACCGGAGCAACACAGAGTAGCTGTTGGAGGTCCCACATCAGGCGGCACAAGTGCCAAACACACACAGCCCAGGAGGAGAGCTGCTCTGTGTTGTTGGTAACCAATGTGGTTCTCATAACAGTTGTTAACAGCTTCTTGCAGACACTGCATTTAGGCCAGCCCTTAACTTYTCCACCAGGAAGTCCTAATTAATTGCCTCGGCTGAGCAGGTAAATGGCAGTTGTCTCTGGTTAAGGGATGGCAGCTGGTGGCAGGGATGCAGAGGATGTGGGGCTGTAGATGGCTGCTTTTCTATGTGGCTGCACCAAGCTGGCAGTTGATCTTTCCTACAACTTTACCAAATGGCAGCAAATTAAAGGTCAGTGCAGATGGCAAGGTGCTGCATCAGGGAAGGGTGCATGGGTGTGTGTGTGTGTGTGTGTCTTGCACACTGGGAACCCTCCAAAACTTCCCCACTGATTACAGCGAAGGTTCCCTAAGCTGCAGTCTRTACTTTTGCCCTAGACCAATCCTCCAATTCTCTTTTGTTATCTAGAAATAAGCAATGTTTACGACTTAAGATTTTTGATGCCTGGCATCTGCTCCCAGCAATCCTGGCTGTGCAGTTGAAACCTGCAGGTGTGTGCAGCCATTCTGGTGGGTCCCAGTAGAGTTGGGCCTTCCACAACGGGCACTGTGCATACAGTAGGTCTTCTTTTCTCTAGGAAACCTAGGTTTGCCTTGCAGTTGTCATGTGGCACCTACTCACCTAATTCTGTCTAGGAAATCCTAGGTAGAAATGTGATTATGGGTGCTCTAGCACTGGGAGGCAAACAAAAGTGCATATCCTGTGATGTGCCTGCATAAGCGTGCACACTAGGGAATGAAGGGACACCTGCCAGCCTCATGACAGCAGGACACTTGATCTCACCTGGGGATCTGGCAAGTGCTGCGTCTAAGGGGGAAGAGAAGGGTTATTTCAGTTTTGCATCGTGAGCCTTTGTTCCCTGGGACAGGTACTGATTGCTTCTCTCTTTGTCTCTCTAGTGAGGATGCAGCAGAGACAATAGCAATAGACTCTAACAATCAGCCGAAGTCTCCACTGGAAAAGTTTATGGTCAGACTGTGTACGCACCACCAGAAGCAATTCATTCGTGTGCTCAACGACATATACACTGAAGTACAACCGGACTCCGAAGGGCAGCAGGGAGCTGAATCTGAAAGCATGGAGGCCCCTACTTGTGGCTCTGGTTGCAGCCAGCGAAGCACTGAAAATCAGGATAAGGGTGCTGCTTGTACTGAATCCAAGCCCCCTGCTTGCTCAGACCTAGGACAGTCGGGGTCTGATGGCACCCTGCATGTTACAGGACAAACCCTGAAGCAGCCTGCGGAGCTGAAGTCTACGGACARAGCAGAGAGCTGCAGTCCTGCTTTGAAAAGAGACTTCTCTGACATCCCTGTTACTAGACTTAGTTCTGCTAGTCCAAAGGATAGCTCCACCCAAGGATACCTCAGCACGTTGAACTCTTCCTCTTTGAATTTCCATCATGCCGCAAAGAACCTGGAAGGACAGGCTGCTGGACGCGAGCAAGAAATCCCCGTCAGAAGGTGTGAGGACAACAAAGAGCAGGTAGCAGGTAAGACTCTCGTGGAAGGCTATATCTCTGTCAAAGTGGCAAATGTGAACGGCAGCGAGGACAGCTTAGAGAGCTGTCTGGGGTCCCAGAAGAACTCTTTCAAAGCTTTACCCGAAGAGTCCTGGGATTCTGGCTTTACAGTGAACTCTCCTCGTAGAGCTGACAAGGAGAACGCGTTGCAGTGCAGCTCGAAGGCGTCTTTGCACCAGGACTTTGACGCGAGAGAACCCGACGCGAGACCAAAGGCAGAGAACCACGTGCTGCACGCGGCGGGCAAGGGCAAGGCGGGCTGCCCGCTGCACGCGGGCGACAAGGGCCCGCTGGAGAATCCCAAAGAGGGCTGGCTGCCCGCGGGCACCCCGGCGGCCGCCCCCCGCGGGCACCCCCGCGCCAAGGCCGCCCCGGCCCGCGCGCCCCGCAGGAGCAGGAAGGCCTCGGGGCTGCGGATAAACGACTACGACAACCAGTGCGACGTGGTCTACATCAGCCAGCCCATCACCGAGTGCCACTTCGAGAGCCAGCGCGCGGTGGCGTCCCGCAAGACGGCCCGCAAGAGCACGCGGGGGTATTATTTCAACGGGGAGTGCTGCGAGCTCCCCACTGTCCGCACGCTGGTTAAGAGCTCCCGCGTGGAGGAGAGGGGCAGCGGCCCGGCCCTGCGGACAGAAGCGCTAGTAAGCACGAAGCCGCCGCTGGTGCTCTCGGCGGGAGGGTCTTTAGGGGGAGGAAGGGAAGGCGAGAAGAGGGTTTCCCTTCGGCTCCTGGCCAAAGGGGCGCCGTGCAGCAGAGAAAGCAGGGAGCAAGGTGACGGGGGCTCTGCCGAACGCGAGCTCCGGGACRGCTGGGTGCTGAGGCCGAGGGAAGGTGCTGTCGCCGTGCCCCTGTTCTCTCTCTCTGCTCCACCTAGTCCTCAGAAAGAGGAGGACTCGGCCAGTTCGCAGCCCCCAGGCTGCCCTCCYGCCCAAGCGGGGGAGGCGAGAGCTGGGGATGCCGCTCCCTGGCAGGCTGGCAGCAGGCTGGATTCCCCTGGGGACAGCAGGGCCACAGGTGGCAGCAGCCCACAGAGTGGGGACCTCAYGGGCCCTCCTGCCTCGGAAGCACGCGGCAGGGAGGAAGGATCCCCAGGTTCTCCGGGTTCAGAAACACAAACTCTTCCAGACCTTCCAGCCAGCCTGGAGCCAACGCCTCCCTTGCAGCCCTCTGCGGCTGTGGACAGCCCACCTCTGGCCAGTGCTGGTGTGAGGGACCCTGCTGAGCTTCCAGGTGCTGGGGACGTGGAGCCCTCGGCGGTGCGCGCTGYAGAGCCCTCCCCGTGCTCCCCGCACCTGCAAATTCCTGATGATCCTCCTGCCGCTGCGGATGGGGAGAGTCCCCCGGAGCTCCCCGACGCCTTGCAGCGTGCGGACGTGAACAAGAGCATCCACGTTGAACCCGAGGCCRAGCTCTCCAGCAAGCCGAGCGGCAGCGATCTCGAGCAAGAGGAGGCTGTGCCAGCTAGCACAGACCTCCCTGCCGTCTCGGAATGGGAGACGCCGCAGAAGAGTCTGCCGGGTGAGGAGGAGTCTGCTGAGGGTGAAACGCTGCCCGAGCTTGAAGGCTCGGAAACACCAGGGAAAGACTTTGTCTCTTCCAAAGAGAGTCTGGACAAGAAGCGCAAGAAAGGAAGGCGCGTGCTGGTGCCGTCGGACCGGCGTCTGCGAAGCCAGCAGTCGCAGCCGCCCGGGGAGGGCAGTGCTGAGGAGGAGGGCTCCTCCAGCGCCCTGCAGCTTCCCTGCCTTCAGGTCAAACTCTCCAAGAATCCTGGCGCGAAGCGGTTTAAGAGAGAAGTGCCGCTGGAGGAGGTGGCATCTGTGCACTTCCCAAATGACTGCTTCCATAAAACGTTGCTCGGGAACGGTGAGGGGCCGAGCACCAGCCAGGCTCCAGAGAGCCTCCTTGAGCAGCTGCCAGGTGAGGAGAACGGTGTCACTACTAGACAAACCTATAAAAGCATCCTAGCAAAAGAGACTGCGGCAGAGGGAGAAAGTTCCTCGAAAGATRCCCCCCTTGCTAAAGGCAGCCCAAGTCAGGCAGGTGCGACGCTGGAAATGTGTGTCCGGGCTGATTCTGAGAAGAGAGGCATTCTCCTCCCCCAGGAAAGCTCCATGGCCACAAGTGATGCAGAGCAAGTGGACATGAAACCAGGCAATGACAGTGGAAAGGAGGAGGAGGAGGAGAGCGCTGACAGTGCCGTGGACATGGAAAAGCTTGAGAGTTTTGAGCCAGTGACCAGTTTGCTTCCACGTCCCAGCAGCAGAGGTGGAAGCAGGCATGTTCCAGCAAAGGCTGTGAAGCATAAAAAGGTGGCCCTGCAGTTTTATAACTTGAGACACCCACCTGCACCTGTAGACACTGCAAAGAAGAACACACCAGGCAAGGAGTCTATGCAAGCGATCCCCAAACTGAGGGACGAATGCAGTTCAGGGAATGACGACTCCGCAGCGCTGGAGGACGTTGACACAGCTGACAGCAAGCCAAAGTTCATGGAGTGGTGTGCTGAAGAGGACAACCAGGAGCTCATTGCCGAGTTCAATGCCCAGTACATGAAAGTTCAGAAGGGCTGGATCCAGCTGGAAAAGGAAGTGCAACCGACGCCCAAGGTGAAGAACAAAGCCGACAAACTGAAAGAGATTTGGAAAAGCAAGAAAAGGACACGGAAAAGTAGAGGGTCACTGGAAGTTCAGAAGCTTTCTCCTGTCCAGATGTTGTTTATGAAAGCCTTTAAGCTGTCTGACATCTGCCAGTGGTTCCTCGAGACAACTGAAACCAGATCTCTAGTAATTGTGAAGAAACTCAACACCCGTCTCCCAGGGGAGATACCCCCCATTAAAGTCCCCCTGCAGAAGTATTCCTCTTCCAGTCTCTATCCCAGCTCGCTGCAAGCCGAACGTTTGAAAAAACACCTCAAGAAATTCGCTGCAACTACCCCAGCTCGGAATAACCCGAAGAACCAAAAGTTGTGGGCCAAAATTCGGGAGAATGCTGAAAAAGCCGAGGCTGAAGAAGCCCCTGGTGCCAACCAGACGTCCCCTCCTGAGGCCAGCTCCGAGGAAGCGAGCGAAGACAAAAGCGTTCAGTCCGCTCCGAGCTTGCCYGCGCAGGCAAGCAGCAGGATCCTGCGGAAATACTCCAACCTGCGGGGGAAGCTCCGAGCCCAGCAGCGCGCGATGAAGGCGGAGAAGAGGAGCGACGTCCCGGGGGATCACTCTGCCCTGGAGAGCAAGCAAAGCCGGAAAAGCGTGTGCATCAACCCGCTGATGTCTCCGAAGCTGGCCCTGCAGATCAAAGCGGACGCGTTTCCTGCAAAATCGCCCTCTGTGGAAGGGCTGGGAAAGGGGCGGAAGGGAAAGGGCAGGTCCCAGGAGGACCCCTCGCCCAAACGCGACCCGCAGCTCCCCAAGAAGAAGAGGGCGCTGAAGGAGAGCGGCAGCCCGCAGGAGCGGCCCGGCTCCTCYGGCAGGGACCGGCTGCCGGCCAAGAAGGCCGGTAAAATAAAGCACTCGGAGGTGAGCGGCAAGGCCCCGGCCACCAGGAAGCAGGCCACCGTGGAGCGGAGCAGCAAGCTCGCCAGGAAGATGTCTTTGAAGGAGAAGAGAGCCCCGAGAAGGCAGCTGGAGAAAGCGCGGCTCCCGCTGCGGAAGGGCAAGGAGAACACGAGCCGCCGGGCCGCGCTGCCGCCCGGCCACGAGGAGCTGGCCAAGGCCCCCAAGCAGAAGCCCCTGGGCGAGTCCTCCACGCGCTCCCAGAAGCTGGCCAACAAGAAGCCGAGCAGCGGGAAAACCCTGACCAGGTCCATGAAGAAGATGCAGGAGAGCGGCGGGGCGCAGGGCAAGAGGAAGCTGAGGGCCAAGGTTGACTGTTCGCACAGCAAGCGCTCGCGGCTGGATACGAAATAGCGAGGAACTGGTAGCCATGTACAAAACTGATGTATAGTAGTAATCCTTTACCATGCATTAACTAAAGCTGCTTTTATAAGCTGTAGCAAGCCTTTGAAAATCCGCAGTTAATGGATAACGCCCGTGATTTTAGGCATCGGAAGATGTGTCTCGGACAGAGAAGAGAGCAGCCTGTCTGTCTCTGCTGTTCAGGAGGAAGCTCCTGCAGTTTGAACGTTCCTTGGATTTTTAAACTTGGAACCAGGCAGTTTTAGTTAAAAGTACAGTGCCTTATTTATCACTTTAAAAATAAAAATAAGAAGCTCGTCTGTGTGATTTGGAGGCTTGCGTTTTATACTTGAGGCACAAGCACTTGTACTGTAGCAGAAAGAAAACCACCTTTGTGCACATGAAGTAGCTTTCGGCAGCCTTTCAGTGCACGCAAACGTTTCCCTGTCCTTCAGYGTCCTCCTTCTGTCTGTCTCACTAGTGGCATTTAAAGCAAAACCAAAAGCATTTCCCATCGGTGAGGGAGAGGAAGGTGCAGCCGCTGGTGTCCCGTGCTGTTACCTGCGGAGAGGTGTTAACTCGCTCCTCGTGCGTGTACTTCTGATCCCCGCCTGGCTCTCCCGTCCCACGGGCCTCCAGGTGGGGTGACCCGGGCGGAGCGGGAAGGCAAAGGAGATGCTGTGCGGATCCTGGATGCTGGGCCGGCTGGACGGGCTGGGCCGTGCTCASCCTCATGGTGACAGGTTGAACAGGTCCCGTTACGCCTTGGTTTTGGAYGGAATGTCTTCACCCATCCGCGTCTGGCTGCCCCGGTGTTGATTTCTGTGGTCTCGGGCAGCAAAGCGGGTTCTGCAGCTCTTTGCAAAGGATTGAGTCTTTGGCTTTCTCCTGGCCTGGCTTCCTCCCGCTCTGTGCGCTTTCCCTTGGCCCTCGTGGTGTGTCCTCGTGCACTTGCTGCATAGCGCCCTCCTAGAGCAGGGATCTCGRTGTTTGGAATAAGGTTGAGATAAGGGTCTGAGTAAATTTTATTTTTCTAAGTACAATTTCCCTTTCCTCCTCCTCCTCCTGGCAGGGTGCAGCGGTGTCGTCCTTGCCGTGCCTCTGTGCCGGGGGGGAAGCGGCCAGGCTGCTCGGCTCAGCTCAGCTCAGYCCCGCGCCTTGCAGGTCTCCCTCCCGCGCATCCAGAAGCCAGCGAGGAGCCCGTAGCGGAGGCGCAGGGCAGCCCCAGCCTCGCGACTCGGGGGAAGACGTGTCAGAAAGGCAGCGAGCCGCCTTCCCGTGGCCGTGCCGCGACCGCTGTGCCTGGGCACTGCCAGCCCTTCCAGTCGCTGCCCAGCATCCATTGGCACGTGTGGACTGGCAGCAGGAAGCAGGTCACTGCCTTTGAATCTTCCGTGGCACCCACGTGGCACAGGGGGTGAATCGAGGCGCTGCAGATTGGCACGTGCTCCCGAGCGCGTTCCCTTCCCCCAGCGCCCGTGCGCACGGGTCTGCGGCACGTTTGTCTCTTCCTATGAAATGGCTGATTTTAAAGAAAGAAAAAGAATCCTTTACCTTCCCTTTGAATCATGCTAGAATAAGTTAACTCTCTGAACAGCTATGAAGTGATTAAATCTAGCTTGTCAGTCCCTGTACAGATTAATATGAAGTTATCTATTACTTTAATTTTTACTGCATGTATTAAATATGTCAAACATTCCATCAGGAAAGATTTAAAGGCATTTGGGGAGAGATGTGAGGAAGGAGGGCGCTGCCTGCAGTTCAATGACTGCTCCCTACTTTTCTTGCAGGTTTTCTTTTCCCCTTGCTTCCCTGTCTGAATTGGCCGCCCTCCCCCTTGCTCCTTAGGGCAGCCTCTGTAGAAATGTGGGCTGGGGAGCGCGTGCTGCCCCCCTGCAGCATCTCCCTTTCCTTGTCACCCGCCTTCGCTCCGGACGCGCGGAGAGGAGCCGCTGCAGAGCTGTTAGGGGGACGGGAGCTTTCCCAAGACCTGAGCTCTCTTTCTCGCTCTGCTTATTTTTTCCCAAACTGTTGCTGGTAAAGGTGGGCTGGTCTGCTTCCCATCTCGCGGGCAGCAGCCTCAGCGGGATCAAACCGCTGCAGAACAGGTCGAAAGGGGCTTTCTGGCCATGGTGCTGCAGGTAGGGGTGCTGCTGCCCCCAGGTCCCGGGCTCCGGGGGAGCGCGGAGCATTTGGTGCTAGAGGGCAGAGGCTGGGAGCAGGAGCAGTGCTGGGGGGTCCCCCGTCCCTCTCCTTTGCACTACTCGCAGGTTTGAGTGATTGTTTCCCACTACCAAACTACCCACGTACCGAACTACCCCAGTTTGGTACCCGCTGCTCAGTCGGGAAGTTGATGGCGCTGACTCACAGCCAGACCTCGACTCCCGAGGGGAACGGCTGGGACCCATCGCAAGAAGTGGGGAGATGTTGAGAGGGAAACCCTCTTTTCCCACCCCTCTGAACCTGCCTTCTTGCTCTGTAGTTTGCTGTCGTCCTGCTGTGTCTTGGCTTAGTCTGGTGGCGCTTCCCTGTGCAGGAGGTGACTCCCCACGGGCCTCAGTGCTCCCATGGGTGCTGCAGGGCTCATCTCGGGTCTGTTCTCCCTGGTGGATGCCGGCGATGCTCCGTGGGGCCGGCGCTGCCGCGTGTCCCGCTCCAAGCGTAACGCTCCCGAACCCCGTGCAAAGATGCTACTGACTTCTAGTGGGAGCTGGGCTYGGCCTGGTCGCTGTAAATCTGAATTTCTGTGCTTTTTCATAAGGATGTGTAGAGGTGTGTGTTTTGTGTGAGGATAGGGGTTGTGGCTTGGGTTGGACTGAGCCCTGTGGGTTCTTGTTACGTTTTCCCTCAGAAAGCAAGGGAGGAGAAAACGAGTAATTCTGAATATGGGAGTTGTCCTATTTTTTTTTCTGTTTTTTTTTCTTTTTTCTCTTTTTTCTTCCCCAGAGAAAACCTCCTCAGAGTCTAGTTGCTCCAGGGTGCTGCGTGGCTGCCCTGGGGTGTGTGATGGGTCGAGCTCAGGAGTTTGCGGGGAGCCCAGGGCTTCCCTGCAAGCGCTCCGGGTTACAGCCTCGTGGAATTACTTGAGTCAYTCCTGGGGTAGGAGACCCAGGACTGGGGAAGGCTGGAGATCCTCATCCTCTCCAGAAGTAACGTGTGGCGCTCTGCTTTGAGGACACCCTCAGCTTCCTGCCCATCTCCTTTCCTTGCTCTCCCAGATGCCCAGGAACTCGCTGCTTTCGGGAAGGGCCATCTCTGCCCCTTCTAACTGTGTGTAGCTTCCCCATCCTGCAGGTTACAAGACATTTTTCCAATGGGCTTCACAAGCTTGCTTCTGAGTGCTTTATTTTTTGGGGAAAAAAATACAGGCTGGCATTGGCTGAGTAGCTGCTTTTATTTCAATGGGTGCTCAAATGCTTGATTTTTATTTTATTTTATTTTTTTTCTCCTTTTCTTTCTTCTGATCAGTCTTCATGTCCCAAAGTGAACCTCCTGGTTTACTTTGGCATTTCTTCCCTCCGTGCAGCCACATTTCAGCTAGAACAGTGTGCAGGGGCTGCAAACGTGCMTGGAGGTAATACCTGCTGCTCCGGTCGATGCCTTGGGACACGCACTGCCCGTTTCTGCTCSTTCGGGCTGTGCGCTGGTGAGGCACGGCCCGTGCCAAATAAATGCAATTTCTGCACAACGAAATGGATGGACAGGACATTGTAGATGACCTTAATGAATGGCAGGAGATAAGSCACGCTTTTCATCGCCTCTGTTCCACAGGGGCATCGGCTGTGGGTGCAGACCATGCCCCTGGCACCTCCGCAGTGCCCTCCTCTGCCCCACAGCTGCCTCCCCGGTCGGGCTCCTATCCCTGTCTGTGATTTCAGACCGAGCCAAATGCTGTTACTGCTGCTGCCCTGGAGTCGTGGCCCTCTTCAAATGCTAAAGCCATTCTRCTGTCTTCTCAACACACTCCAAATCGCCATTGCTGTGTTTTTCAGGGTTTTTCTTCTTAAATACATATGCTTGTCCCATGTAATTCATGTCTTTTAAGTATTTATCCTCTGTCTCTCACTTTGGCTTTCCCTAATGAGCACTTCCTCATTGTGATCTTGAAACCAGTCTCCGTTCCAGCTCCCTGTTCCATGCCGATGGAGTCGCATCTTCCTGGATCTGCATCTCAGCCTCTTCTGCGAGGCCACCTCTCGCGACTGCTTGGTTAACTCTTCCTCCCTCAGCTTGTCGTTGGCAGCTCTGGACCTTCACAGTTCCCAGGGYCAGGAACTCGACGCCTTACCTATCCTTCAGGAGGGCCTTGCTGGGCTGGGATCGCTGTGCTCGGAGCCTGAATGTGCCTGTCTTAACTCGCCCGTCRTAGGGAAGGGCTGCATCAAGAGCAGTTGGAGTGCGGGATGGCTCCTCCTGTCTGTAGCTGTTAGACTGTCATCTAGTTCCTCTGTTTCTCTGCAGACTGGGTGCAGGCAGCGCATCCCAGATCAACACATTTAATATTCATCACTGAAAAGGTCATTCTTCCCAGCTAGTCGCTCGTGTGCCGTGGTGTTTCTGTGCCCTACGGCACGCTCCTCAGCAGGGCATCTTTGCAGCAAACCTCCTCCGAAGTGCTGTCGAGTGGGCAGCAGTGCTTTGAGAGGAACTTTCTCCCTCATCAGCCCCTGGGGGCTGGGAAACARGATTAAATGGTCCCTATGCTCCCCACATCACGGCCCGTGGGGCTGCCCGAGCCTCTCCGTGTCCTCAGGTCCAGATGGGCTACGGACAGCGCCGGGTTGGGCTCGTCCCCCTGCCGGGGACGTCACCGTAGCTTTTTATTCCCCCCCGCCTTTTTGTAGCTGTAAATTTTTGTGAAAAAAAAAAAAAATCAAGAGGATCTGATTTCCCCGYGTCGCGCGCGTCCCCCTTGCGTCGTAGCGTCCGTTCGGCCCATCCTTTAGCTCGGTGGTTGTGAAATGAATCCATCTGTTCTAAGATGTTCTCAGGAGTTCTTGTTTGTATTAAGACCCCCTTCCCTAGGCTTAGCGGAAATCATGGTCCCCTCCTTGTCCCCGCTCCCGTCCCCGCTCCGTGGACGGGCCCCCCGTTCCCAGAGCACTTCCAGGCGGTGCCGGGCGCGTTGGATGCAGGGCACGTTGGCAGCTCGGGGGCTCCCGCCGCGCTGGATCGCCCGGGTGCCTCGGGCCACGCCGCAAGCCAAGGTTTTCTAAGTCTGTTTGTAAGAGTACCTAATTTTAAAATGAAATGTGAATATATATAATGTGTAGGTGCCATGTAAGATAGTGTTGTGCTAGGCAGCAGGATGCTAACCTACTTTTTAAGCTTTTGGGGGGCAGGAAAAGGCTTTTTCTCTTTTTCTTCTACTCTCACTTCATGCTCACGGATCTAATATTGTAAATAGTGGTTTTTTATATTTATTTCATGGGCTTTCCACAGCTTCGTGTCGTGACTGGTGTGGGTTGGCGGGCAGGGGCTCCCCAGGGTGCTGCGGGGAGGCCGGCTCGTGGGGCTGGATTTTGGGGGGGGATTGGGGCGGGTGGGGGGACGGTGCCGGCGCGCGGCTTGTTTCTGCCGCTGCCGCCTCCGAGCCGAAGCATTAACTCTTCATCTCATTCTGACGATGGTAGAACTGGTCGAAGGCGGCCGCCCTGCCCGTCGCTGGGGACGGGGCGAGCTGCTGGGGCCCCCCAAGGTGCAGGGGGGTGTCGCAAGCAATAAGATTAGTAGTAATAACGCCCGGCGCCCGGGCGGGCAAGGGGCCGCCCGCCTCTCCGCGGAGCCCGTGGCCGGGAACGCGGCGGCGCCTCGGCCGGGCGCGACGGGGAGTCACTGCCAGCAAAAACACGCCTGGAAATGCRTCCCAAAGCGCTTCCTCCTGCGCGCCCAGCGGGTGGAGGTGACCCGAGGGAGGGCGGCCGACGTCGCGCTCGGGCCGGAGCGCCCTGTGCTTGTTTGCTTTGCCGTTCTGCAGTTTCTGTCTCCTTCTAGGGCTTGGAGCTCCTTGGCTTGTTTGGTTGTTTCTTCCCCGCCGAGTGTATTTGGGTTTCTCTGGTTTTACCCCTCMTGTCTGGRTGTGTTTGCCCGGCTGTCCGCGGAYGGCAGCGCGTGTTGGGTCGGCTCTGCTTTCCTGGTGTCCCTCATTTCTGAGGGTGGAGCGAGGGGCTYGTCCCACGCTCCCTTCTCCCCCAGAATAATCGCATTAAAAAAAAAAAAAGGCAGCAAAAAMCCAGTGATGACTTTCTTTTCAGGCCCTTCACTGTTTATATATTGGTTCCATCCCAATAATGAGTGTTTTTCTTTCACCTGTGTTTGCTTCTCGGGAAGGGTTTTGTTTTTCTCTTTGTTTCCRTATGATTTTTAGACACTGCTCTGCAAAGTCCTCCTGTCCGGTACTGTATGTTTGAGCCTAACCAATGTGAACTTGACAGAACAGCTCTGGCAAAAGTAAGCTGGGAAGATGGGGCTTGGGAGACTGCCTTTCCGTTTGCTCTGGGTAGTGGGAAGTACTGCGTCTTGATTTGAGACTATGAAATGTCTGCTGTGAATTATTGGTTGGAAGTGTTGAGAGGAGTTTCCATTAGATAATGTTTACATACCTCACCTGATGAACCTTTGAAAATGTATATAAAAAATAAAATAAAATTATATTAAGTTGCTTTAAATCAATATGTATAGCTATAAGAGCTGAGTCATTTGAATTTTGAATATGTATCAACTCTCTAAATGTTGACATTTTGTGAACTCTGTGCTCCTGTCTTTTATTTCATATTAGACTATCGAGGAAGCTGTGTTCTTGTTACAGGTAAAAGGTTCCTGACTCAGATTTGAACTCCTCAAGGATTCCCACCACCTTGTTCTCTTTTATTCCTCCACTGTTGATATTCACCCTATGAGCTTTCTAAAGGTCCGTATTTTATTGCAGCTTATTAAACGTTTCTTTGATATCCAAGTTTGCTCGGTGTGATAACTGGGAAGGAGCAAAGGTGAGTGTGGGTGCAGACGGGGCCGCGCGGTGGGACGGGCTCCGAGCTCCCCCTCTCCCCAGCTAATGCCTGGAGCTCTCCCAGGTGGGTCCCAGAGTGGCGGGTGGCCCTGGGATTTGTGTCCCCTGCCTTGGTGTTGTCATCCTAGGGAAAGGGTGGCTTGGGGAGGGACCAAGGGGGTGCATCCCAGAAACCGGGATGTTTCTGCAAGGGATTTCTCCTGGAGGCTGCTCTTAAAGGGAGGTCTTAGCTCAGAGCAAAGGGGCTTCCCGCCTTGGGGGTTTCTCGGTCCCCGGGAAGGAGGACCCTGCCCTCCTCCCCACCGGCAAAGACGAGGCCGGGCCGCTGAAGGAATAAATGTCATGTTCACGTGGAAGACAACATAGACAATATCGAACATCTCCTAAAACAACACAGCCTCTGCTAGCAAAAGGGTGCTCAGCGCCTCCCTCACCGGCCTAGTACAAACCAGCGTCTTCAATAGTGACACACACAAACCCCACGGGCCCAACAAAGCCACAGCCACTGTCCTGCCCCGTAGCATCTGTAAACAAAAAGAAAACATCATTTGTTGACCCGAACATATAAAAATACTATAACAAAATGAAATACAAATATATATTAGAATCTGTAAGTATTCTGTATAAAGAGATACTTTAGCGGTTAGCTTACAGCGAGAACAGAAACACAACACAACCAAGCCCGGGCTCGGCCATGGGCAAAATGAGACGTGTCCTGGGTCCATGGTGCAGCACAGGGGTCTCCCACTGGAGAGGGCGGCTGGGACCAGGACACGGGCCCAGGGCGCCGGGCACCCTGGTGGCTGGGGTGGGTCAGGGATGGTCCCGTCACCCTGGACCTGCTCCCAGCGCTGATGTGCAGGGCACAAGCGCGGCCCRCGCTGGACCGTGGGCTGGAGAGATTCAGCACTGCTGGTGGGGTGACTTGTCCAAAGGGCCGAAGCAGCGTCCCGGCTCACGGAGTGTCCCGGCTCGACCTGCAGCCCCCGTGTCCATAAAGCAAGGCCGGGCRGCCAGGCCGCGCGCTGTCCCCATGGGCTGCCTGTGCTGCAGCAGCGTTCGGCGCGGCCTCGCTCGGCACAGCAGCGCCCACGGGGCAGGAGCTGGTGGGACCTGCCCCGGGCGCCTCTGCCGTGGGCAGCTCCAGCCCCAGCACGTGTAAGGCCCAMGCGCTGGCAAAGGGCACGGTGGGCTCGCGTTCCTGCTGTCCTAGCAGCCACCGGCCCCCTCGGCGTGCTCGCCGGGCTGCAGGGGTGTCCAGGGCCTCCTGCTCTTTTTGCTGGGTGCCCCCAAGCTCTTCAGGTGCCTTCAGGCACCTCCGGGGTCTTGCGGATGGCACAGCAGCGTCCAGGCCCTCCAGGGCTCRGGGTGCCCCGTTGGGAAGCAGATCCCAAGGTCGGAGAGGCCGGCAATCGGTGAGGCCAGGTAGGGCTGTAAGCGCCGCGGAGCAAAACACCAGCCTGGGGCCCGTGCTCTGCTAACATCACCCCCAAGCAGGACCAGGGCAAGGCACCTAGCAGGCACCTCAGCCGCCCCTCMGCACCCCGAGGCCGTCCCGGCATCACGTTATGGACCGTGCTACACAGCGAGGCCACAGCCACCTTTCATGGGACCCCACAGACACCCGGGTCCTGCTCCAGCCCAGCAGGACACTGCGGGGCTGCCCTGCACCCAGCACATCCRAGGGCTGCCTTGGAGCTGAGCCCCRGCTCTGCTCACGCTGGATGCACCYGCAGCCCGGCCCAGAGCAGGACCCTGAGGGCGCAGCAGCGTTGGGGGCTTGGGCTGACTGGAATGGGGGTGCCCCTTCCTGCAGCTGGGGGCAGCGAGGTGGGCTCCGCGGGGCGGCAGCATCCCGGGAGCATTGCTGCTGCCYGGAGGCGATGCAGCCGAGCGCAGCCCGCGGGCACGGCGGGACTGAGGGCCACCGCATGCCTCGCTCTGCGGCCTGCGTGTCCCAGCCCCTTCCAAGCCTTTCCCTCGGGCGGTGTCAGGCCCCGTCAGTCTGGCCCTGCCTGCCGGGGTGCAGCGAGCAGAGATGAGGCCGGAGGGCGAGGAAGGCGCAGAGCAGCCCCTGCTGCGCTCCCGCCCTGTACTAGTCCATCTGTGTAGCTGCATTTCTTATTTAAAAAAAAAAAAAAAA